TATTTGTATTTTATTGTCGCTAATCATACGATACATTTGCATTACAGCCCCCATTGTTTTTCTACATGTTTTGGTCATTTTATCGGTCGTCCTATACAAGCAAATCTAAGCTCCAAAAAATAAATTAGACATTTTATTAATATATTTTTACAAACTATTTTTGTTTTCATTATTAAATTTTTTTTATTTTCTACATCGTTGTTGTCAATCGTGTGTATGGTTTACCAGACATACAGTACAATAATTAATTAATTGTTTTATTTGATAAGATTGTCAAGTAGTATCATCTTTTATATTACATTTTTTTAATTGTTGATTAAAGCTATAGCATTATTTTTATAATTGTATTAAATAATTTAAATATTACTCTATTGTTTCATATTTATTAACGCAAGTTTAGTAAAATTACAGTACACCATTTATTATTATAATAATTATATTATAGTAACATTACACCAGTTATTTGATAGTATTATATAATATTCACATCCCGTAAACTAATTTTAGTACACTATTCACAAAATGCTGACTCACTTGATATTGTGTACCATTTAATCCTTTGAGAAATATTTGTGTGTTAAGTGTTTTAGTTTTAATTTTCATCCTCCAGTGGACTCTTTTTTTTGGTGAGAAATACCACAAGATTTCTGTGAAGGGAATTGTGGTCAAACATGTTTGACATAACTGTGAGTTCAATAGAAATCAGTGTTTAATTGGGGAGAAGCGCTAATTATTGAGACATTAGATGGTATTTATATAACGCCAATAGCTTTGGGTTACAAATGTACTGATATTCCCGCATAACTGGCACTCAATCACATGTTCCGGGTTTAGTAGGTTTTCGGATTAAATTAGGAAATTCAGTATTGTTTAAATCACTTGTGTTTATTGCCAGTCTTTTTATAATGTTTATTATTGTACAAGAAATGTTCAAAACTTACAATTTTAGGTTATATGTCAGTTAAATTATTCAGTAGTAACTAAATTGGTCTTAACTATTGTTTAAGTAATAAATCTCTCATTAAAAATCAATTTCGTATTTATTGTACAAGAAATGTTCAAAACTTACAATTTTAGGTTATATGTCAGTTAAATTATTCAGTAGTAACTAAATTGGTCTTAACTATTGTTTAAGTAATAAATCTCTCATTAAAAATCAATTTCGTATGAATTATCGATATTAAAAAAGATGAAAATTTTAAATACCTTAAGTACTCATTTTATTTGGATACAATTGTTTTTTAATATACAGTACTATTTCACATTGAAGTAAAATACAGTAAAATTGATTGCGAAAAATTGTACATCAATTTGAAAATTAATTTTGTTTAAGAATTAAATATATCAAAGGACATAATGGTCCCTCGTGAGATGTTTATACAGATTATAATAATAATATTCAATAAAAATTACAATACCGGTACATTTAAATAATTCATATTAAATATTTTAACTTGTAATTGTAATCATAGAATAGTTATAAATGTTAATTGCTTTCAATACACTCATATCTATATTATTCAAAATATCATACAATAAAATCTTATACGAAAAATGGATTACAAAAAAATAAAATATAGCTTAAAAGCTATGGTCAAACCAATTAGAGATTTAGTGTAATTAGTAATTTTATTTATAAAATATTTATAATAATTGATTAAATATACTGTAATTATGATAATAAATAGTAAGTACCGCTATTCAGTAATACATACAACATAAATTTTATAATAATATCTGTTATGTTTGGGCGTATGTGGAGGTCACTGCCATCAAAACACACTATTATTATCCTAATTCTTAACTATATTTTAGCATACATTTGGCTAACATTTAAGATTTATCCACGTTTTCATGAATTGATAATTTAGTATTTATTACATGTTGAAAATACAATAAATACAAGTTGCCAAAAATGGTATCATAATTAGCTAGACTTTTGTTTAAGTTAACAAAAGAATTAAACAACACACATTTCTTAAAACTTTCTTTAACTTGTGGATTCGTACTTATATTTATAATTGCTTATAAATAAAATTACAATGAAAATAAATTAAAATTAAATAAATTAACATTTCAAATAAGGAATAGTATGGAATTGAAAAGACTGTTACTTTTTATGCCTTTCATCCGAGAGTTCATACATTAAAATACCATAAGTGACCAAAAGACTGGCAGTAGTTATGATTAAACCTCTATTTATATGAATTAAGCCAAATATTGTTAAATTTAGTCCACTCTTATGGATAGTATCGGCCAATAGTTTGAACTAAAAATAAGTAAAATTATTAATTCAACGTTAATTAACTTATGTTACAATAGACTTACTTTTTGACTTAATTTATTTAAGAATTCATTATTTGCATCAAAATTATTAAATTTGACGGCTAATGACAAGTGATACAAATGCTTAATCAATTTCCTGAGCATGTGTTCAATACTAGACAGTGAGTTCAGGAAGAGTACCAAGACCATAAAACTAAACAACTCGTGAATCCAATTCCACACATCATTTTTGGCCACTTTTTGTGTCAAAATAGTGGTGACGATCTCTTCGGACAGCGATAGTATGGACCAAATCATGACCACATATATAAAACCAGCGATTTGTTTGAATATGAGGTCATATTTCTTGAATTCAATCACAAACGATGTGAACCACAGCTCAATACGTTTGGCTTCAATGGTGTCCACACTTTGCTCGCTCTTTGCCGACAATAACAGCGTTTTCTTCACTCGTTTGACCACTCGATAGACTTTGAGCCGAAATATCCACGAAAACGATATGTAAAGCGTGAGAATTATTGAAAACACCGATACTGTAAGAAATCTAATGATCCAAAGGGCATAAAATAAATGGTAAGCAAATGACCGGGCATTTAGATCGACATTTTTTTCGCTGGATGTGCTGAACAAATAGCTCATATAGATTGAGAAGACTATATTGAACGCAAACAATTGAAACGTTTTCATCCGTATAGTCCTGATGTGTGACTTGCACTCAGTCTCCACGTCCTCTGTGCCCACATTGGGCTCCAAATCTATTAAGTCTAGCAATTGTCTCAACTGTTGCCGCCGCCACCAAAGTATGTCCAGACTCACAGTACCGGTGATGTTGAGCAACAGCACGAAAAACATGTTTAGGTTGTCGTTAAAACTTCTGTCAGGCCGTAGACCAGACCTAATAGTGAAGTAGGCGTCGCCTATTGTTCCTAAATTCATGATAATTAACATAATACTGGCAGCAATTAGGGACACCAGACTTCGGTATCGGTGTGGCGATTGCAACCGCCATAGACCGGGAGGTCCTCCAAGAAATCTCAATATAAATAGGGTCGGCCTTAGGATACAGTAATATGTTTGACGTTTCTTAGTATTACTACACATAAAGAAGAACTCCATTGCCATCTCTATTAACACATCAATCAAAATACAAAATATTTAAATTATAATTAAAGCCTCTATTAGTTTGAAAAGGATTTTCAAGACTACTGGTTCACAGGTTTTTAGATTGCACACTGAATTATAGCAAAGCTTAATTTATATTTTATTATATTTTGATTGATATGTAAATATAGTGAACAATAAGTGTATTCCCATTAAATGTCAGATAAGGCATAAGGATTTATTTATTTAGTTTAGTTTAATGTGTTTGAAAAACACTTCAGACATCATATTTAATATTAAAATAAAACTGTTTGTATCTCTCTCTCTCTCTCTCTCTCTCTCTCTCTCTATCGCTATTTTAAGGGAAAATTTTTTCATACGATTTCAAGTTTTTATTATAAAGTCATGAGTTATGCAAACCAATACATAGAGAATTGCATATATAGGACAGTAGTATATAGTCTCGCCTTACGGTAGAGTTTCTATTAGAAAGCTTACATCAGAAACAGGTAAATATTATAGTCAGTACAGATGCACCGCAAACCTTGTTTTATTTTAAGATTATTTTAAGTATAGATGCGTTGATATGAATTACATTTAAATCATAGCGTGCTTTCCAATGGATTTCTTAGAGTTTCATCCCTTTTGGACATTTCGTAAACTATTTTTAGAAATAGTTTTTTCAATACCTACGGCAAGTGCATGTAGATTATAATCTAGGGGGTATTTCCATATTAATATGATTATGGGACTCAACCAGAGAATAATTTTTTGAAGAATAGTTGACTTTTATTTTTATCCCAAATTTGAGACAAAATAATCGATTAATCAATTGATAGACGAAAAGCTTATTGTTTTCAGATTTTATATTTAAGATAAATATAACAATTAAAGAGTTTTATTCTTATGGAGAAGTTGCACATAAAGTGCATTCTTTATATTGTTTATCATTTTGTTGTCCATTGGATGCCATTAATCTTTGTTGTGAAAAGTATTTCAAGAGGTTTTAGAGTACTTTCAAAAACGAGAATAAAAAGAGTTCACAACATAATAGGACAGCAAATGGTAGGCCTTTTGTGGTGAGAAACTATTGGAAGTCGAGTACAAAACTACTAGTATTTAATTAAAGTGTATTTTGTTTGCAACTTAATTTACTATTAGGAATAACTTCATAATAAAAATCTAATAAACAATAAAACTTGTTATTTTTAAATTAATATTTGGGAAAAGAGATTTATTTGTTACTATTGTTATTATCATAAGTTTTGTTATTAAAAAAATTCAATAAAGTTATATAAAAAGTTGAATAATAAGATAATAAACTCTAAATTTTATGTGGTTTATTTAATAATCAAAATATTTTTGTGCAAAATATGGAAATTGATATTAATTTTCCTCGTCTTTTGTCAACTTTTGACATCAATTATATTTTGTACGACTTTTGGGAACGGGAGGGCGACCCCCGTATAGCCGACCGCGCATTTTTCAGGGGTGGCCCCTGGACCACGTGGTCTCTGATCGCCTTTTATGTCTATTTCGTCAAAGACTTGGGACCGAAGCTCATGAAAAATGTGGAGCCGTTTAGTTTGAGACGACTTATGTTTGTCTATAACTTTGCGATGATTGCAGTGAACGGATGGTTCTTCTATCAAATCGTTTACGTCTTTAACTTCGGTCTCGACTTAAATCTGTTTAACTTCGAGAGACCCGACTCTCGGGACACGAGTCCGAAGACACTGCAAGTCATATCTCTGGCGTATCTCTTCTTCATCTCCAAATTGGTTGACTTAATTGAGACACTTTTCTTCGTTTTACGCAAAAAACACAATCAAATCTCAAACCTTCACGTCTATCATCACAGTGTCGTCCCAGTAATGACACACTTAGCCGTTAAAGTATCACCGGTTGGTGGGCCGGCGACCCTTTTCCCACTATTGAACACTTTCGTACACATCGGTAAGTATTTGGTTTTAATTATTCCCATACTTTTCAACTTTTCATTTCAATGAAATTTTTAATAAACATTTATTAAACATTTCTATTGATTACCTAATACATTGTATAAAAACTAACAAAAATATTTCTGTTATTTTTATTTTTACATAAATTTCTCTATAATTTTATTTATCAATATTAAGAAATTAGAGGAAAACTGATTTCCATTAATTTTATATTGAAGTACAAAGTTGGTGATAATGTATTGACTTTTTATTTTTATTTTATTATAAGACATAAAAGCCTATTATAATATTAACTTTTAACAATCTGTTAATAATAAAGCTTAAATTATTAAATATACTGTATTATTTGTATAGTACAGTATATACCCAGGTTATTTAAAAAAATTTCGTTGATTTTTTAAATAAACAATTTGTTATTTTAATAAAACTCTTATTTCCTATTTATACGCTTTTACATTAGCTATTACATTATTTTTTAAAGAATTATATTTTTAAATGAAAGTATTTTTAATTTGTTAAAATAATCAATTATCTAATATTATAAAACTTATTTTTGTTGATAAATTAAAACAATAGGCACTTAACAGAAGTTTGAACAATTCAATCAATATTTGATTTCCTAAGTCATTATTAAATAAAACTCATAACAATTTGTTGATAAAAATATATTTATGGGTTAAGAGACTCTAATTGAGGAAACATACAGTTTTGACTAATTTTGTGTAAACCATACCTCAAGATGCAATTAATTTAAATAAAACCTTAAATTAAGTCATTTATGAGACAATGACACGTGTGGATGAAATTACCCTAAGTTTTAAAAGCCTTCACAATTAAATTATTTTTTAATACAATATATTAATTACATAATTATTGACTAATACTTCACACACATTATCTAGTTCTTTATATTTAATATAACATTTAAAAATAATATGGATGAAATATTTAGTTATTTATGTCATTTTAACTTACATGTAATTAATTATGTACATTTATATGATTTTTATTCATATAAACTTGTTATTCTATCTATAATGATGTGAATTCAAAATTTGGGAAAATTGACAGTAGAAATAAATCATATCAATTTACATTTAAATTACTTGTTAAAACTACTGTGCAATAAAATTTAATAATGTAATAACTATATTTAATAGTAACACGTGTACTACATGACATTCACATCAATGTTAGCTAATTGTTAATTACAATTAATCTCTATTACGGTGTAAAATAAAAAACATATGATTTCCAAAAATAAAACTTTTCACACAATTAATGCAGTTTTATATCTATGTTATGGTCAGTGATGTACACGTATTACGCGTTGTCAGCATTGGGTCCATCGGTGCAGAAGTACTTGTGGTGGAAGCGATACATCACTCAAATACAACTCATTCAGTTCGTCATATTCT